TCAAAAGGTAGATAAAATTTTACTATATTCCTGTCCCTAAGTATTTCACAAGATCACCTTTTCTTAAATTCTATTTCGGAGCTGCAGACTCTCTTTATAAAAACAAAATGTCATAGAAAAATCCCTGTATTTAAAATGTGTAAAAATTCCCATCAAAATAGGAAAGACTGGCCTGTCCCCAGGTCCTCAGTGAATGAGGTACCTCTAAGAACATTTCAGAAACATCTTAAAGTCACTGTCTTAGGTAACTGTTATCTAAAAAAACTAACAACACAACAAAAAACATTTTTTAAAGTATTCGGATTAAAATAACCGTAAGATTCCTGTGTGGTACAATATACTGTGATTCGTTGTAAGACATCTGACAGACAATTTCTCTGAACCTTAATTTTTCTATCTATATAAAATGATGGCCAGGGCTTCCCTGGTGGCGCAGTGGTTGAGAGTCCGCCTGCCAATGCAGGGGACACAGGCTCGTACCCGGGTCCAGGAAGATCCCACATGCCGCAAAGCGGCTGGTCCCGTGAGCCATGGCCGCTGAGCCCGCGCGTCTGGAGCCTGTGCTCCGCAACGGGAGAGGCCACAACAGTGAGAGGCCCGCGTACCGCAAAAAACAAAAACAAAAACAAAAACAAAAAAGACGCAGACATAGAGAATGGACTTGAGGACACAGGGAGGGGGAAGGGTAAGCTGGGATGAAGTGAGAGAGTGGCATGGACTTAAATATACTACCAAATGTAAAACATACAGCTAGTGGGAAGCAGCTGCATAGCACAGGGAGATCGGCTCAGTGCTTTGTGACCACCTAGAGGGATGGGACAGGGAGGGTGGGAGGGAGACGCAAGAGGGAGGAGATATGGGGATGTATGTATATGCATAGCTGATTCACTCTCTTATAAAGCAGAAACTAACACACCATTGTAAAGCAATTATACTCCAATAAAGATGTTAAAAAAAAAAATGATGGCCTTACACTAGAAGACATGATGGCCTGTCAACACTAAAATTATACTATGATGAAGGCTATAAGAATTAGTAGTGGCCACTTCTGAATTTAGGATAGATGCATTATGAGAGTATACATTTCCATCTCTGCAGATCTTAATCTCAAGTTTCTGCTTTAGATTTAATGCCTTCTGTAAATTATTACTATCACATATCCTTTTCCTAGATCACTAGGAACTAGATGGAAAGATTTTTTTTTAAGCACTTCAATATACTTATCTTTCCTTAGGGAATATATGTGCCAGAAATAATGTGGTTCATTTTTGTGGGGGTGGGGGAGGGGAGGACAACTGTACTTAGGTTTTTTGTTTTGCCTAAATCTGAAAGGGGATGCTGTCTCCTTTCTGCATGGTAAATAGAAGAGGGAGAAAACGAATTGTTCCAAAGGAGGAGAAAAGTGAGACTAAAACAAAAAATTCTAGATGAACAGGAAAATAATCCATGCCTTTGAAATACAAAAACTTCCTGATTATAGAAATATTCATGCTTCTTATAAAAACCATAATCTAAAGATACATATACACACAATTATTTTGGTTCTCTGTTCTATATTTTACCTCCTCTAATTAATTTGTTAGCTTAAGAGTCAGTTATAGCAGAATAACCTACATGGGAAAAGAATCTGAAAAAGAATGGATATACATATAACTGAATCATTTTGCTGTATACCTGAAACTAACACACTGTAAATCAACTATACTCCAACATAAAATTAAAAAAAAAAAAAAAAAAGTTAGTTATACCAGAGTACCAGACTAAAGAATGGCAAAATGTTACAGGGGCATTTTCATCAAACTGAATTCCAGGAACTTCCCTAGTGGCACAGTGGTTGGGAATCCGCCTGCCAATTCAGGGGACAAGGGTTCTATCTCTGGTCCGGGAAGATCCCACATGCCGCGGAGCAACTAAGCCCGTGCGCCACAACTGAGCCCGTGAGCCACAACTACTGAAGCCTGCACGCCTAGAGCCCATGCTCTGCAACAAGAGAAGCCACCACAATGAGAAGCCTGCACACCACAATGAAGAGTAGCCCCCACTCACCACAACTAGAGAAAGCCTGCAAGCAGCAATGAAGACCCAACGCAGCCAAACATAAATAAATAAAGATAAATAAATTTATTTTTAAAAAAAGCGGAATTCCAAAAATATTCCATACTGTCAGTTATGAGTATATTTTTAGAAACGATACTCTTCATCTCCAAGTGCTCGGTATAAAGTTCAACCTTTTTATAATAATAATAAGCCAAAGAATATGTTTCTTTGTATTATTCTGCTAAATAATCCAGAATATTGATGAGTCATAGTCTGCTGGAAGTGACAGATCTGAGAAACAAGGTCTGGAAAACTAAAGGGCAACCTTCAGTTACACAACAAAGAAAAGGCATTATAAAAAGTTACAGTTTAGTTCTTTTCATCCTTGATCTAACGTCAAAAATAAATAAATAAATAAGCATCTTCAACACACAGAAGTGTGAACTATTAGATTCCGTGCCAGAACAGCATGTGTTCTACAGAGACTGGATGCTAAAGAAGTCTGAGCTCTGTAATTACAAACCTTTGTACATAGGATAAACTGTTATAAATAGCCCTTTTTAGTAATAAGGGTCATGAGAAAGTCACTCTGTGGATGACTTCAAGTTCTCAAGGACATCACACTGTGACAACCTTGGACTCTTACAGAGTCCTAGAGCCAGCCCTTAAAACTCTGCTTAAGAGGTTCACAACCACTTAACCCCATCCTTACATATGACAATCTCTTGCCTATCAAGCTGACAAAAAGGAGATATTTCTCATACAGAGTTTCCCCGGCAAGTGCCCTTCCAAGGGCTTTCCTTAACTGTTTTTCATGTGATCCAAGACACCATCAATTTTAAGCCTCATCATTAAATTCTGTACTATAAGAAAAATGTTACAAATTAAAATAGTGTTTTTCTATCATCAATTTTAAGATGCGTATTTCAGAGAGATTAAAATTTGAAAAAATGTGCTTCTTACAAAGCCACCAGCAAGAATTTTATAAGAAGGAAAGTCCAAGACCAACACTAATCCTTTTTATTTAACATGATGAAGGATTAAGTATTACCTACAGAGTAGAAAACATGTTGAATAAAACTACAGCTCAGAAAATTTGGGTTTGGTTCCAGTTTTACCTTAAATCAATACAACTAAATGATTTTGAAAAAAATCACTTTACTGTCATTAAGGCTAACTATGGAACATATACCCAACAGAATTATTTTGAAAAATAAATGAATGTGACTGCACTGTATACATTATAAAATGTAAAAGTACAATTGTGATGTCAGATTTTTTTCATTATTATTAATGCCATACCTGAAGAATATAATAATATGTCAAAGTCTTGCTATGACTGGTTTTAAAGTACTAAAAATTTAAATTCTGCTGTTTTATCAATTAATCTTATCCTCAAAATTCATTTGAAGTGATAATTTAGCCTTAAATATCATTAAATGTTAAATTTAATAATAAATCTGAAGAATCAAATAATACTACAGATAATTTACTAATATTATAGATTTCAACTGTATTATAGCAGAGTAGAGAATACTTTAATTATGGAAATTCTAAAGAGCAGATATGAGGGTTAATTATCTGTCACAGTCCTAATTCAAGTGCTCAGAAACTGGATGTCTTCCCTTTTAATATTATACTTAAAAAAATTAAGTATTACTATTTTTTAAATGTTAGCTCTTCTATTCCTTTTAACATAATATAGTTTCGACGGTCTTTACTATTGGAAAAAGCGGTGTTTTCTATCAAAAATGCCTTGATACTTATGTATTTGGGGTATTTAACTCCTCCTATCAGGGAGAAACCACTCTTTAAGACTCTGGGCTTCCACTTGAGGGTGCACAGGTTCCACGCCTGGTCAGAGAACTAAGATCCCACATGCCACGTGGCACGGCCAAAAAAAAAAAAAAGAAGAAACCACTAATTTAGACATCTTTAATTAAGGGAACTCATTGCTTCTGCAAATGGAAGTTTGAAATCTTTTCTTCATTTCAGACAAATAACAAAGTCAGCTAAATGTTTAGGCCCTACCAGCCCTCCTCTGCTATCCTTGTGAATGGAAGCTCTTGAAAGTGAGTTATCATTTCAATTAAATCCAAAAGCCAGGGAACCAAATCCTCTGTCCCATTTAAATAGGTCCATCATCATGTGATTTATCTACCAAATTAAAATGATGCTCTAAGATTAACCAACATCACTAGATATAGAACTTAAATTAAGTGAGCTTTACATCATTAGGAGTAAGCAATATAAGTGAATTTTAACCGACAACAATACTCACAAATTGTGTAAATTTAAGTATTTACCAGTATATTTTCCCCACAATGATTTCCACATTCCAATGTGCACAAATCTTAATAAAAATGTATACTGTTTTGGATGAAAGTCTACTCTGCTCAACAGTGAAGTAAACAATTTAAAAAGTCATTTACAGGGCTTCCCTGGTGGCACAGTGGTTGAGAGTCCGCCTGCCGATGCAGGGGACACGGGTTCATGCCCTGGTCCGGGAAGATCCCACATGCCGCTGAGCGGCTGGGCCCGTGAGCCATGGCCGCTGAGCCTGCGCGTCTGGAGCCTGTGCTCCGCAACGGGAGAGGCCACAACAGTGAGAGGCCCGCGTACCGGAAAAAAAAAAAAAAAAATCATTTATATTATTTCTAAACTAAAAGTGCAACTGCTGTATAATAACTGCCTCTATGTTTCAAATAAGAAATGCTTTTTAAAAGCTTGCTCTGAAGAATGGAAAAAATTATAAAGTAAAACTCAGCAATCACTTTTGCGAGGAATCCAATTATTGCAGATCTAAATTATCAACCTGAATATAAGGGATGCAAATTGCTGTGCTAACAAGTGTTTAAAAAAAAAATCACTGCATAATAATGTGACACGAAATTAAGACTTTATCAAATAGTTTGTTTTCGTAGTATACCAATAACAAAACAATAGATTTAATAAACACATACAGTTCCAGACAGGACATCATGGGGGCAACAATTCAGAAGGTGACTCTTGCATACTCTGTCATCACTGAATTTGATTCGTTGACGAGTAGTATCTCCTGTAATAGAGGAAAGTTAATAACATTCAAGGTTAGACAACTGGAAAATATTTATTTTCTGAGAGCCCTACCATCACTAGCTTTTTATGTGTGGCTATACACACACACAGTTATAAATCAGCTCGAGGGGTTAGTTTTTATATAATATCCTACAGAAAAACTATTTTAGACAACATGCAGTTGCAGTATGTGTACTGCACATGTAATTCAAATAGTCAAACTGGGAAAGCAATGCATTCTGTTAAACAGAGTACTTCAGAAAAGCATAGCATGTA